TTGGGTTGTGGGTGTGTACTGCTGCGCGCGGTCTCTATCTGTGGTAAGCTGTGCAAACTCGCCTGCTGCGCGCGGTCTCTGTCTGTGAAAAGCTGTGCAAACTTGCAGCTGAGAGTCATCACGAAAATAAAAGGAATTGCTGTGTTGGCAGTGCGTCACCCCAACCCCTCCTCCCTCCGTGACCCTGACCCCTGACCATTGCTACGTTAGCAGTCTCTATGTTTTCTACTATGCAAGAAACCCACCCGCCAGCCCTCACTGCCGTGACACCCACATGCAGACAACTCGCGCTCTGATCTTTTCTACCAGGGATGCGCAGTTGAAGGCTTGTGACATCCTCTCGTTTTGAGAGTCTAGCATGGAACCACAAATTTCCCGGAGGCGAATGGGGCGGTGGTGGGCAGCTAAACGCGGCTAGGATCCCTTTCTGCCCGGGGCCTATCCACAAACTGTACCCGGCTCGAGCAGCTAGCCGCGCTCGGATTTATACCATACAAGATCAAACCCACGAGACGACTCATGTGCTTCGCTTCGCTCCGCACAATTTAGCGTCTCTATGTTTTCTACTATATGCAAGAAACCCACCCGCCAGCCCTCACTGCCGTGACACCCACATGCAGACAACTCGCGCTCTGATCTTTTCTACCAGGGATGCGCAGTTGAAGGCTTGTGACATCCTCTCGTTTTGAGAGTCTAGCATGGAACCACAAATTTCCCACCCGAAGGCGGAGCCATGCTAGACCGAACCACCTTCCTTGCTTGCAAGTCAAACCTCAACTTGCAAGAGACGGGCAAGCCTGACCTGCACCAGCACACCTCGTGCCAGCACGCGCATCCCTCACTCCTCGCGAGAGAACCTAGCCTCCTGCCTGCGCAAGTGCACACACGAGTAGTGCATGTCATTCATCGCGCAACAAGCCCTACCTCAGCCCGCACGCAGCAAAGACCTCAAGCATCCCCAACCGAAGGAAACCATGCTGCGACGCCACGCCAGCTGAGGCACGCGCAGACGCGCGACATGTAGACGCCGGCACGCACAACCCTCCGCATACATTGCGAGCGCTTGGCTCGCCTGGGGCACATTACCAAGGCTCGATCCACCTGAGCTCGCCCTTCTTGCGCCGGGCACCTTGGCCGGCCTCTGACAAGGATCCTGCCTTGTCCGCCTTGGTTTGACGGATCTCAGCATCAAGCTCCACAGCAGCCGACATGAGCTGCGGCAAGACCTGGAAGCCCAGGTCCTCCGGAACCACGTGAACGCGCTTGGCCAGGTCAAAGGCAGAAAAGTCCTCGTTGGTCAGCGCGTCAGCCTCCACGTTCTGCTCGCGGGGCACCCAGCCCAAGTGCAACACGGCCCCCATGCCGCAGAGCTGCACGGAGAGCTCCATGAGCACAAGGCAGAGTGGAAAGGAGGTCGTCATCATCTTATCGATCACGAACGAGTTGCCTTGGTTGTCCGTGAACCCACCCAATACCGCGGACGCAACCTTCCCCTGCCAGATCGCCTCTTTGCCAAAAGCGCAGACAGCCAGGAGCGTGCCCACCAACTCCAAAGCAGCAATGGCTCGAAATGGCTCGCCTTTCGCATATGCCCAGGGGGCGGATTGGCGATCCAGCCTCGTCGAAAACCAACGCGCATGCCGAGGACTTGTCCCGCCAAGACTTTCCCAGCCACCGACCACAATCACATCGCCCTCAGCCTTAGCGTCCACTCGGAAGACCTCCCCTACGCACATGGTGAGCGGCTTTGGCGGTGTCATCGGCGCCTTTTCCACTTCCATACGAATGAAGCCGAGGATGAGGCGCACACCGAGCGGCAACTGGACCAATCCCGAGTCCAAGTGGGCGGACCAAGCAAAGAGCGGGCCAAGAAAGGGACGGACATGTGGCAGCGCACCGGCTATGAAGCTCAACCGGCCCAACACGGCCCGAAACTGACAGCCCTGCACACATCCCTCGCTCAAGCGTTCGCCAATCCAGCGCCCGAGCCACTGCACCTTGCCTGGCCCGATGCCCTTCTCGAACTTGAATACGTCAAGCTGGTAGCCAATCCAGCAAAGCGAGGTGCCGCCTGCCACTTTCCGCCACGACAAGGGAACCTCGAAGAGCTCCAGGACGTAAAGCCAGAATAAGGCCCGTCGCCAGAAATCTCGGCCGGAGGGAAGCAGCAGGCCATCGTCCGCGTACAGCAAATGATACAACGCTTTCGCAAACTCAGCCAAATAGTGTGTCACACGCACCAACGCAGCTGCCACTCGTTGCCAGTGAAAAGCTGCTGACGCAAACCCGAAGGCACCCACCGTGTGCATGTAGATAACGTCCGGGTCATCCAGGGAGAAAGCCTGAAACCGCCAGTCCTCCTCTCTGATGGGGATGAGCTTATGCGCGCGAGCGACGTCGTACTTCAGCGCAAAGCGCAACACCGAGGCCAGCAAGCACTCCTGACGAAGTTGCCGAAGAACACCCTCCAAGTCATCGATGCGGGGGAAACGCACCTGATCCCGGACCCGAATGCGGTGGTTGACCTCGACCTTGTGGGTAGCGTCGTGGATGATGCGCACCGCAGCAGATTCATGGTCCTTAGGCACTGCGCCGAGAGCCGCCACAGCCAACTTCCCTCCAGACCGGGCTAAAGCCTCTGCGCGGGAGAAAGCCACCACAGAACCACGCTGAAGATCTTCATTGATTTGCCGTCGGATGTCTTCCATGTTCTCCTCTGCAGAGCGATAGTTCTCACAGAAGGTAGACTCGAACTCGGCCTCAGCTGCTGGCAGCTTCCAACGCGACTTCCGCTCGAAGACAGCGGACACGCGCGGTAGCTCAGTATCCACACCCAGTTTGGCCCCAACACTGGCAAACTCGCGCAAGAACTCAAAGTCAGGGTCCTCCGCAAGCTCCAGGATGGCCGCCAGCCGACGAAAGTTAATCTCTGTCTGACGGTCCGAGGCGCGGCGAAGAGGGTCCACGCCTTCGTGTTGCAGAAGCCCGTCCAAACTACGCCGCGCGGCCGACAAGGTCTCCGCATCGAAAGGCGAAGAAGTGCACCTTCCTGCTGCCAACTGCCAGAAAACCCGAGGCGCGCCTCCCTCAAGCCGATCACAGCGCGCAACCCAAGCATCGAAGGCCTGATTGACAAAGTCCCTCACACGAACAAACGCGGGCTGCTGCGGGAAAACTCGCTGACCAGTGGGCCATCGCCCCGGAGAACAAAGACCACCACCGTCGTGGATGGCCCGCGCCTTGCCTTTGTAGATCGCTTGGATGGGAGCGCCAACTCCCCAGTAACCTGCAACCACGATATCCTCAGCCTCCCCTTCCTCAGCCTCCTGACTAGGCAACGCCTCGCCGCCCTGGCCGGAACCTGCCTTGGGTACGAGCGGGCAGTCCAGCGCGGGCCGCGGAGCAACCGATAGTCACTCCTTTTTGTCGGCGCTGCCGCCGTTGGAGGGGCACGCATGCATGGGGTGCTTGCCCAGGCAGAGTTGGCAGGCATGCGCACGCTCGCACTGGCCACGACAACGCTCATGCGGATTGTTGAAGCGGAAGCAAATCTGCACACCATCCTCTGTGACGGTTTTGAGCTTGCCGGCGAACTTGAACTTGCCCTTTCCTTTCCCTGCTCCCTTTGGCCGCTGCCCTCGTTCTCGGCTGCGCGACCTGCCGCGATGAAATGCGGCCGTAGGCGGTGGTGGCGGCAAAGACAAGCTCAGGGCACATGGCGTCACGAAGTAGCGCTCCTTCAAGACGAGATCAGTCATGGCCGCCTCCATTGCAGATACCAAGGTCTTTCCGGCGTTCATACCTTGCATCATGCTCTTGCGAAGCTGAAAATCGTAGGAAAGCACCAACTCGAAAGAGGGAGCAGACACGCAATGACCGGATGCATCCTTGGCCCGCAAACCGAGAACAAAATCGCCCAAGAGGAAGTCTGCGTAATTGTAGAAGTGCGACGGCGCAATTCCTTTGAGTGAGGCAACATGCGGATAACGTAGAGCACACATCACGAATACGTGCGCCATCAGGCGCAGTCGCTGACGCAGCTCTTCCGCATCTTTCGGAAGCGGCACCTGAACGTTGCCCTTCTTAACCTTGAGCGCTCCGGTTTGACGATCCAGCAACATCGATGCTGCCAACGGCTCTTTGGCTTCATCTTCTTTGGAGGCGAACTCCTTGAGGGAGAGGTACTGCCATTCCCCATGGACGATCATGTCGAAGTGCTGCTCTAAGGTCGCACTGGCCGGAATAAGCTTATCCTGCAGGGTGTAGAAGGAAGTTTCAAAACGATCCCGCAGCTGCGCCAACTCCGGACGTGCCACTGCTTTAGGAAGCCCACCGATGACGGCCTCTGCCTCCGCCTTGTTTCTGGCCTCCACCCGAGCGTGAGCCGCCTCCCAAGCATCAACCACAGAGGCAATCTCGATCATGTCGTCGCCCTCTTCGGGCTTCAGACCCAAGGATTTTTGACAAAACTCGCGCACTCCCTGACGACTGTCTGCCATAGCCGACAAGCGACTCGTGGTCTTCACCTTCTTCTCCGCCAGCTTGGCTTTCACCTGAAGAGATACGTCTTTGCACTGGAGCAGCCCTGCCAGGTCGGGGTCGAGCGTCTTGACGATCTCCTGCTGCGCAGCTGCATCCATCGCGGCAAAGCAAGCAAGACAGAAGAAAGGCGCAAAGAAGCACTGATCACGAGCGGTCGACGTTGATCCAACCAAGCTTCAGCAATCCACACACACGCCGCACAACAATCCACAACAACACGCCGTGCACCGCAACCCCTCCGTGCACACCACGCGCATAGACCTAAAACCTGCAAGCCGCAGACAACACCCCGAGCAGCTCGACCTGATGCCACTCGTGTGCTCTGCCCGCAGCACTGCCTTTCCTGCATCCTGGCTCAAGCGCACAGTCATGAGCATCGCCTGCCTCCAAGGTTGCTCTCAGTGGCAAAAGGCCCGCGCTTTGCCATAGAGAGAAAACAATATCTACGGCCAAGACGCTCATACCGACTCACTCCTAGCTGTAGAGGACACCTTCGAGAAGGACGAAGAAGCTGAAGCAGAGGAAACATCCCCCTCGTCGCTGCTGCTAGCCAGTGCGACGCTGCCGCTCGGAAAGCAATCACGGCAGACCTGATCGAACTGGCCGCGCTCTGGACGCTCATTGCCGCACTCCATGAAGTTACGATAATGTACTCCAGGCACCCTGTGGCATTCCCCTCCTTTGTGTAGGGTTCGCCGACGCGATGACCCGACTATGCTGATAAAATAGCAGCCCAAATGACCACCTGTCTCGCCGACATCTTCGTCCTCGACAAGCCCTGTCATTGCCTGTGATGGTGAGGCACTGGGCAACGCATCATCATCCGTACCATCATCTGACCGCTTGCTAGCAGTGATCGAGGCGGTCTCCATCTCAGCAGCGCCCGCGCCAACAAAAGACCTCAACAAGTCCAGTTGCACAGAGGTTGCTGTCTCGTCCACATCAAGGGATTGCAGTCGATCTGCCACTTTGGAGAGAACCGACTCCTCGTCCAAGAAGTCCGGACCAGCCCACCTAGCACGGATGGTTCGGGCAACCCGCGCTTGTGCCCGCTCCACATTGCCACGCTCTGAACGAACATAGGCCTCATCTGTGGATGGCTGCCAGCGACCCATCTGCTTGCAAGCAGCAGGGGGAACTTCACAAGCGTCTGCCCAGCTCCGCATCGTCGCCCGCTCAGAGTGTTCAGTCCACAAAGTGCCTATGCCAGCAAACATCAGCGGCACCTCGCCGGCAGCCGCCTCGCGGGAAACCCCTTTCAGCCGCTGAAATAAAGCTTGCGACATGGCCGCAGAATGACAATAACGCGCCATTTTCCCCGAAAGGCCATCCAAGTCCTTGCGAGGTCGGGCCAAGAAGAAATCCCGGCCATCCAGGTCAGCTGCTTTGCTCATATCGCACCAGATTTTCCAGCCACATGCCAGCCACTCGTCACACACAAGCCAAGCGTCCTTTGAAACATACGCGTAGAGAACCTCGCGCTTCTTCCCAGCACCACTGGTTTTCGTGCGCTCCAAGCGAGCACTCAGACCACGCCGCTGCAGTTGGACCGTCCTTGCGGGCATACCTTCGGTATCAGAATAACGAAGGCAACCCCACAACTTAACCAACTTAAACCAAGCAAAAGCGCGAACGAAGAGAGGCGCGGCATCAAGCACAACAAGGCGTTCCATGGCACACACCTGGGACACCAGCAACTGGCAGGCCTGCTTCTTGCCCCGAAGGTTCTTGTCTGCCAGCTCCACAGATAACTCCTCCAGACAGTTCCGCACCGCCGGATGAGCACTGATCTTGTCAGACGCATGCAGCTCGCCAGCAGACTCAATGAACATCAACGACTTGAGGCAGCTGCCAGGAACAGAGCGGCCGCAGGGTTCTGCTGCACGTGCCTCCAGATAGGCCACAAAATGAGCCGCAGATGGCCACGCCACCCCGAATGCGCCAAGCACCCACTCATGCACTCGCGACCATGTCCGCACATGCTTACGCAAAGTAGATGCCCTACGTCCTTTCCCTAGGCGCTGCATAGCCCGCTCGGCCCCAGCCCCTGCCAGGCCTATGGCAGCAGGCAAAGAAGCCTGCCGGATGAGCTTCGACAAGCCCCCAATCCAACGGGCACGATCGCGCGCTTCCGTGGCCTGCCTCTGCTCATCACAATAGCCAAAGCCCGCATCTTTTGCGCCTTCGCCAGCCCGCCACCCTGTAGCGACCCTTGACGAACGCAGCCGCTTAGCTGGTGCCCCATCCGGTAACGGCGCAGCACACTGCACCTCCGGAAGCGGGCTGAAACGATGGTAGCGTGCCTGTTTCATAGCCAAGCCAGCCCAAGCCAGAGACTGTATGCCTGTGTGAGAAGTCCAAGAGAACCGTGCCGACAACTCCGCCGCAGCCACCAGAGCAGAAAAGCTCGCTGTCTCTTCTTCATTGCAAACCCGGCCAACCCGCCTGTCCAGAATCGACTTCAGTTCCGCTGCGGATAGGTCGGACAAAGTTGCTATCTGCGAGACCGTCCAGGTCTTGAAAGCTGTGCCCACTGCATCGCACACCGCAACCAGGGAGTACAACTCACACAGTTCCATCGCGCAGCTAAACGCGGCTAGGATCCCTTTCTGCCCGGGGCCTATCCACAAACTGTACCCGGCTCGAGCAGCTAGCCGCGCTCGGATTTATACCATACAAGATCAAACCCACGAGACGACTCATGTGCTTCGCTTCGCTCCGCACAATTTAGCGAAATCCCTCTCCGCCCTTCCTGCCTGCTCACTGTTCTGCCTTGTCGGCATAGTCCAGCAACTGCTAGGTTAGCAGCGCTTGTCTCCCACCCCCCCATGACCATACCCTCCCGTACTCCTGGATCCCTCGCCTCTCCTCCATGACTAACTGAAGTGGGCTTTGTAAGGTTATCTCAGGAATTGCTATGTTAGTGGTCGGTGTGTGCTGCTGCCGCGGGTCTCTGTCTGCGAGCTGTGCAAACTCGCAGCTGGGAGCCTCCCCCCTTCCACCTTTCCTCGCTGACCCCCGGACCCCACCCCTGACCATTGCTACGTTAGCAGTGCTCCTCCCTGACCCCTGGGAACCCTCCTCCCCGTCCCTGGCCATACCCTCCCCGTACTGGGGGGCTGTGGCAAGTTTTTTGCTGGTGTGCTTACGGGATCTTGCGTAGGCCTCAAAACCCAAAACCCTACACCCTAAATCCCAAACCCAAACCCCAATACGGTGTAACAACCCGAAGATGCTGGCGTCAACCCGAGTCGTAAAGTCAGAGGATCTTTCTGAATGTTCCTGAAAATGCAGCGAACATGAGAAGTAAATTGCAAAGAAGTGAAACGAATGCGCGAATTCACTGAACGAAATATAGCGGCCAGTTCATTTTATTCACTGGCGATCTTATTTCTATTATTGGTTTTCTATTCAGCGGGCAATTTTAGTACATTTTTATCAGCCCCCTTAAAAACCGCTAAGAGTTAAGCCGCTAACATAGCATCTCACAGATTTGCGTCGACTATGCCGTTTTTGACCTTTTGGGGCGCTACAACCACTAACATGGCAATTCCGGGTTCTGGGGCATTCTTCAGGTTTTCCTGACAAGAAAGCTCTCCAGGCTGGGCACGCTGCGAGTTGCCATCTACTCTGACCTACCGGCCGGAAACCACCTAACATGGCAATTCCGGCCGCGAGAAAAACTAACATACAAAGCGTCGTCGAAAAACACCTGCGGGGGTTTCTATGTTAGTTTGGAGGAGAGTAAGCATCTTGCAAAATGCAAAATGCAGTTTGGCCTTGAGAGTGCACATCTACTGCCCAACCGACTCCCGGTACCTATTTCTTGCCCCCCCCCCCCCCCCCCCCCCCCCCCCGCCACTGACAAAATGGATCCCGGAAATAGGTGGCACTCAGAGCACCCCCCCCTCTACCATTACGAGGGGGCGGCCCTTGTGGCGCATGCCAATAGCACCTTGGCTTTGCCACCGTGCTGCCCTCATCAATCCCTCAATTCCCTCACAGAGCAAAACCCTCGCCATCTTTTCTCGGGGTGGACAAGCGGCAGAGCTCTGCCCCGTCTCCCACCATCCTCCCTGAACACTTCCAACCCGGGCTTACACGCTCAAACTGCAACACGCACTTATCAATGGATCGCGCACTGGTCCACCCTGGGCCACAGGCAGCTGCCAGGGCCGCAGGGGGAAGGCATCACAAACCCAAACCCCGTTTAAAGTGCACTCGGGCACACGAAAGGCTGGCAAACCAGCCGCCCAGCTGCAACGACTCATCAGCTGCAGGGAACAAGTGTAACAAAGAGAGCAAAAAAGGGAGGGCGGGTGGGCTTTTGCAGGCGAAACCTGCAATACCCCACAAAGGGCCACGCCCTCCACAAATCGAAAGGCTGTGAGCCGACACTACAAGACGCGGGATGACGCGGGGCCGTGGTATGGGAATAGTGTTCGGGGCATGCACGGGGCGCGCAGGCCTACCAAAACGGGCGGGCGGGCAAAAACTTTCTTCCTGAGAAAGTTGTGGCACTCTACATCCACAAGCTGGCAGGGCCGCGCATGTGGCATATTGAGAAACTTTACGCCTACCCCGACGTGCACACAAAGTTGGAAATATCACCACAAGCCCCACCAGCCACTTTCCCACGCGCCAGAAGCGAACACGCGACACGTCTTCCTACGGACGGCGCATAGATTTTCACCAGTTCAGTAAGAACAGTAGCATAGATTCGCCATACTCAGACCCGAGAGCGGTCTGCTTTGCAGCGGGCGAACTTGTTTGCTGATGCTACACACGCTCAAGCTGCGACAACGCGCGTTATAAGACGTCTCGAAACCGGTGGGTTGTATATCGAAGATTTGCGGGCAGTCAGCCAGGTAGGCTACAAAGCTCAGCCACGCTGCCTCTTGGGCCGCTCATGTCCAGACAGCGGCGGCACCGCTTATCACTTACCAAGCTGCTGGCGTAGCTTGGCTAACGTCTGCTTGCCTTCTTCTGTGAAGGATTGCGCTCGAGCGCTCGGGATGCTTGATTTACGCAAAGCAAACCAGACCATCTCGAAACACATCGCGACGGCTCACTCGCCGAGAAATCGCTGGCAGCAGCGCACCGGTGACTGAGTTTTGCGCTGGTAGTCGCCCACCTGTCAGCAAACAGAAACAAGGGGGCAACAATGCAACCGAACGAACACGCAGCACTTGGTTGACTTTCACCGGAAATGCTCCAACAGCCCCGAAGTCTGGCTTGTTTGGTCGCAAGATTTCTGCCAAATCAAACTCGTTGTCACACTTTGCAAGTGTGTTTGCTGCTCCGAGCGAAGCTCCTCTGAAAACACTTCTCACAACATCCACGGGTCCACGTTCTGACAAACGGGGAGCAAACACAATGAACACACACGATCGTATGTTGGTGCCTAGCACTGCCCTTGCGTACGCGAGGATCCACTGGACTTCAAACAGCTCGCTAGTCGCATCAGGAATGCAGCAAACACACACGCGCGCAAACTCATGGTGTCTTGAATGCAGCCGCTTGTCTACCGCAAGGCAACCACTCCCACGCCGAGCACATCTCTACTGGTCAAACGAATACCTCACACGACCGGCCACGCAACAGAGTGAATACGCTGGTGCCGGGTTGTCGAGCACAGGTAGCCTTGGCACCGACTTTGCGCCTGGTCGTTTGCGAATAACTTGAGCTGCTCAGTCAACGCAGTCTTGCTTCAATCGACATTCCCAGGCGCCTGCACGCACAGTATGACAAGAACCACTTTTCACTCCAGACTAACATGTGGCCTAAACTGAACGTGACTGTGCAGACGCAACCAGGCACAGAAGAAGCACAGCGCCACTTCTTTTCCTTCGGTGACGCTGGGGAATATCCTTTGAGTCTCAGAGGGATCTACCCTACAGTGCCCTACAGTATCTACATGTAGCTCCCGGCCCAGGGGGTTGCAGCCGCCAGCGCGGGCCCTAGGGCAGGGACTACCTGACTACCTTCACCCCCTGCACCAGCCCGACGCATTTTGCAGGGACGTGGTGGGTGGGAAAAGCAAAATGCTAAAAGGGCACTACTTCCTCTACTTGATTCTACTTGCAAGCTGTGATCACTAGCAGGTTGTGGACGCGCTCAAGACACATCACAATGCATCGGACTTTTGGCAGCCATCGATCTCAGTTGCTCTGCGCAGACGCACCGGAACCTATGTTGCGCAGAGCTACAGAGTGAGCTCACATCCACAACTGCGAGTGATTGTATTGCACGCAGAGGCGTGAAAGCCCCATGTCACAATCTTGCAGCGAACGTCACATCAACACGTGCAACCACGCACGCACTAACCCAACACAAGCAGGCGCTCACAGACGCGTGGAACTTGCGAGTTGTTTAGGCTCGTCCAAGTGTGGACTCACTGTTAGCCCGAGTGAAAGAGATCATGTCACTGGCTCCATGACGACACTCAACCTCGCAAACCCTGCCCTGGCCTGGCCACTTCCGCGTGCGCAGACATCAAGTTGGCAGCTGCCCCCACACACACACACGCACACAAGATCGTCACAACGTAAAAAGCTGGCGTTTCTTCCTTCTTCCCGCCTCCATCAGCCAAACTCACAAACGTCTCCTCACTGTCACGCAGCGCCCGTCGCATAGCCACACTGTCAGCGCGCATCAGCATCCGTTCACTTGCAGGCAATCAACAGCGGTCAGCAGTCCTTGTCACGTGAATCCTCGCCGCGTCACCTTGGCTTGGCTCTTGAAGACGCACGTTAAAAACCGGGTAATCTCCGCCTGACGGTTGCAAGAAACCAAATCTACACCACAGCAAAACAGCACACGCACCCAGCCTTGCAGGCACAAGGCCCTCGACAGATGGGCAACAGCAAGAGCAAGAACGGCAGAGAATAGCTTCATGCTGAATCAGTGCTGTAACGCAGCTGGAGCGGGATCACAACACAACCCTTGCAAAGATGCTGTGACCGGTTTTGCATGAAGCGGTGGCAAAGACTGGACTGCGCTGGACTCCCGCGACGCACCGACCAACCGCACGATCCGAGGCGCTCTAGATCCAAAGTCCACACGCGCAGTGACTTTTCAGCACAGACATGCTCGCAAAGCTGCGCTTGTGAAAGGATTGAAAGGACACAACCCTCTCCTACCTGACGTGCACACTCAAAGGGGCGAGACTGTTTTGGCTGCAACTCTGGTATGGTTCCAGGGGAAGGAGGGGCATCCCTCCTTCCCACCCGAGGCACATGCCCCCAATCTCGGCCCTTGGACCCACCAACAAACATTCTACGGCGCTGCCGGCGCTCGCCAGCACGCATGCCCCCATCTGGGGAGGGAGGGCGGGATTTCGATAAATCTCGTCGCTTCACTGCCGGTGAATGGCTGACCTGAGGCAGAGCGAACAACCTGAACAAGTGAACGCAAATCAAGCACTTCAAGCGTGCGCACTCAGTCGGGGGAGGGTTACGTGTATGCAACGGCCATTAGCCCAACCTACCCCGTCGCAGACACACCTCGCCTTTTTTGCACGGGCGGCGGTAGGTCGTCTCTATTCGCCCCGACCACAAAACGTCGGACGCGTGAGACTACCTGCCACACCAGGCGGAGCGGGAAGGTTCTTATTGCAAGTCCCTCGGCGGGAAAATGCTGAATCGAGAACGAGGTTCAGCTGACGCAGGCCAGGCCCACAGAGGGGCACAACAGAAACAACACACACCCAGATTTGCACGAACGCCACCTCGCATACGACAGGCTGCACGTACATGTGAGAGTCGGGCGCACACCCTTCACAAGCCACACGCACGTGGCTGTCGAGCATGCTGCAAGTGTTCGCAAGCACCCGATTGCTGCACGCAAGCATGCGTGTCGCGTACCTTCGCGAGCACCGGCAACCCTCAGTATCAGCAACACTAGACATGAAAGCTTTCTATGAGGCCTCTCTACAAAAAGCCAAGTTCAGCGGACAAAGGAAGACGCACGGTCACTTATGTGCACTACTCTTCGCTCCAGGCAAACTAGATCCTCGGCCGGTTGCCCACCCGTATCCACGTCCACACTCAAGACTCTTGGTCGATGTCCACTTGCTCGCCAGAACACTCGCATATCTCACGGAGCATCAGCGCTTGGCTTCTGCCCGCAGATTGTGCTTCCGACTGGCACTTGGAACCACCACAGCCAAGTCAGGTAAAGCTTCTTCTTCGAGAGCTGCATATTGCATAAACTTTCCGGCGAAAGAGTCGATGGCCCTCAGCAACGACCTGCCAAAGCTGCACAGCAGCTTACGTTCAATGTCATCTCATCTTTTGCACCTTGACCGCGCACGGAAAGCTAGCAAACCTACAAGCAAACATCTTCCACATCGTATATCCCGCACTACAGTTTTCCAGTGACACTGACACCACGCCACCTTCATGTTTGGAACTGGCTTGGGTCGCATCCTGGCAAGTGGTGGCACGCGCAGGTAGCCCAGCAAGCACGTGATGCGTGAATTAGGTTTGCATCAATCTTTATTCTTACTCACGCTCTCACCTGCACAGTTAAGCTAAAGACACGAAGAGCACTGCAAACCTTCGTTTTGCAACGGGGGAGCATCTCAGGCGATCCTTGCATTGTCCATTGCCCTGGCTTAGGGTATGGCGCACAGAGAACACATGCAAGATCATTTGAGAGATCTTCAAGCACTCAAACAAACAAGGAGAGAAGAAAGCCTGCACTGCTAACTTTTAAGCAGACATACTCGCGCGAAGCACTCGCAACAACTCACAACTGCACAGTGACGCAACACACTCGCAATCAGTCGCACCCTACATACAACCCTGCGCGACAGACGCCCTCTTTTGGCGGGACATCGGCAGGCGGCGGCAGGTCTTGATCTTGCGCAACCCGATCGGGCGCAGTCAGATCCTGCTACCCCACCGATTTGGGCGGAGTGGGCGGGTCCGACAAACTTGCAAAGAGTTTGCAGCTGCTACGAGCTCTCTACGACGAGCTTCGAACCAAACTCGCAAAGGTGCAAGCGCTCGTAACATGTCACTACGTGCACTGCGGGCACTCCTGCGCTGCGAGACATACTCGCGCGAAGCACTCGCAACAACTCACAACTGCACAGTGACGCAACACACTCGCAATCAGTCGCACCCTACATACAACCCTGCGCGACAGACGCCCTCTTTTGGCGGGACATCGGCAGGCGGCGGCAGGTCTTGATCTTGCGCAACCCGATCGGGCGCAGTCAGATCCTGCTACCAAAGGTGCGACGCCTGCGACCCATCTTCTCGCACTTACAAGCCCCCTCACTATCTCAGCGGGCCCTGCAGACACTCATCCAACAGCTGCTGCAACGTCTCCTCCCAGTTGAAGTGGAAGCGCTTCCAACCCATGCTTTCCGCCAAGTCAAAGTTGCCTCTGCTGACGGAGTCGGAAACATTTGCAGAGCTGCACACTCGTTGCCACTCGGGCTGGAGTTTCTTCTTCTCGATGAAGACCCACGCGGTCTGCACAAGCCGGTTGATGCAATCGTCTTTCCCGTAGCCTTTCATGAGAGCCTGCTTTGCTGGCTCATTGTCCACGAACAACACGCAGTGCCGGTGCAGTCGCGACTCTAAGGCGATGAGCGGCAACACTTGTCCCAAAATCTCCAACATATAGATAAAGGCTCGCCGACTCGTGAAGTATCTTACAAACCAATAGGGGACGATGCCATACGCATAAAGGGTCACATCACCAAGACAAACAACGAAGCCCACGCCGTTCAAGAAGGAAGCCGGGCACTCCCGTCCCCAGTCTGGGATGTTGTCAGCCTCCGACACTTTGTAGCTCTTGCCATGGAGGTTGAAGAAGGCATCCGCGTAGATCACCGATCTGTGCCGCACATCAAACTGGACGATCCGCGGCTCACCGTGCGCTAACCGATACCTGAGGTACGCAATCGCTGACCTTAGTGCCGAGTTTAATTTCCAACCTTGCTGTTGGGTTCTGAAAGCAGACGCCTGAGCTCTCTGGTGGAATGGACGAATCGCTGCCATGCTCGCTTTGCCAAACATGGACTGCGCAATGAACGGAAGCTTTCCCGCTATGGCAGAGGCCTCGCGAGGCTTGAGCTGGTCCTCGAGGAGGATCTGGAGCAACATCGAGTCCAGCCGTTGTCTCCGGTCATCGGCACATTCGATCACAGCCCTGTCGTTTTCGAAAGCAGCTGAAACGCCGAGGAGCTTATGCCGTTTTGCAGGCGGCTGGGCCTTGGCCTCTTTGAACTTGAAGCCCAGCGCTCGACAAGTTGCAAGCGTCTCCTCATAGGCCGAAATGACCGTGTCAGCCGGCTCGTCGGATCCAAAATCATCCACGAAATGCAAGAGTGGCACCAATAGCAGAGCCCTTGATAGCCACGCCAGCAAGTCCGCTATTCTGCAGTAGCTCCACACTGACGCTGTGCTCCCAAACATAAGCACATTGTGCTTCCACAGAGTTGGGCCCGAAGGCGTAGAAAGGATGACCCACGTGTGATTCGGCTCGCTTACTGGAAACTGTCTGTACGCCGCCTCGTGGTCCACACCCCACAGCTGCACTGCGCCATCTGCTGGGCTGTTATTCTTCCTGATCGCTCTGGCCAGCTCCACAAACGCGGTGATATCACGGTACGCCGGTGAATCCGGCACCCCCACGGTCGCATTCGCCCCCGAGCTACGCCAGTCTTCGGCTCGGCGCACTTTGGGCTGCCCATCCGAACCAATCTGATGCACGGCAAACGCAAAGCAACAGGGGACATGCTCTTGAGGACCAGAAAGCAAGGCTGCTGTGTGCTCGTACTTTGACAAGGCGACACCCTTAACGCCCCAACACTCAGGCATGGCAAATGGCCCCTCCATGCGACCGCACTTCACATCCGCTGCGATCTCGTCGGCCATGGCCTCCCAGTCCTTGTCGACGCGCGCCCTTCGTAAGCGGGAGGTTACGAAGGCAAAGTTCTCCTGGAAGAAATCCTTGACTGGCACCGGGTTATCATAGCGCCCGTCATGACGCAGCCTCCAACCAACATGCCCAACATGGGGAAGCCGCGCTCCATTTCTTCGAAGATAGTCATGTCTTTCCAACCAAGGCGCGTAGCAAGTTCCCGAATCACTGGTACTTGCACAGAAGCCCTACCTGACTGAGAGTAATATGCCTTCTGAATGTGCGGAGGACACTGTCGGAACCACGCCGCTGTCTCTTCCTCCCGGTCCGCAACGAGCTCTTCCACGGCCCGGGTCACTGCCCGTCGCATCTCAGGCAACACGTTGCGGAAGTGTCGCCACACAGGGAGCCCCATTGCAGAAGCCCTGGCTCGATTCGCGGATCCTGCTGCGCTGAATGCCGACACTGCTGAGAAGCTGCCCAATGCTCATACGGGTCAACGATGTCAGAGAGATCATCCGCATCAGCCAACGTAGGAACACCTGGACCGTTGAGGAGCGGCGCCGACTCCCAAATACGCACCATGCACTCAATGGCATCGCATCCCAATGGTTTTGGTTGTGGATGCAATGCCCCAGCCTCGGTTGACAACAAGCCGAAGAGAAAGAACAACTTGGCCGCTCGCAGATGCCAGCCGTTCGCAAGCGCGCGGTGGCGGGCCTTGTCGCGCAGCTTTCTTGTCCAACCGCACGGAAGATGGTGCAACTGCTCCTTCACTTCCGCTGTGGCTAGACGAAAGGCACCCGACTTGTCCGTGAACATGTTTTTATCCTGGTAATGCCAGGGAGCATAACTGCGATTGTCTTGTAGCCAACGTGCCTGAGTTTGGCTATCGACCTTGCCTTTGCTGCTTCGCGGCGCAGGCCGACCTTCTGGGCTCTCGGACGGCGTTGTCAAACAAGGCAACACACCAACGCGGTCCAGCAAGACGCTAGGCCACTTCAGGCCCCCCAAGTCGAAATCATCAATCTTGTCCGGATGGACTGCAAAGGTGACGCGAGGAACTCCCTGGTGCGTTGACCAACGCAGTTTGGCAGGGCAATCAGAGCGATGACTGACTTGCTGCCACGGAACGCGTGTCCACCACACTCTTGGTCGCGAAATGATCCCGAAGTCGCTAGAGTCGTGCATCACTGCCTGCGCGGCCAAAGCCTTCTCGAACGCCCTGATGTCGGCCTTGTTCTGCGGGAGGACATTTTCCACGATCAACACTGCTTGGGGCCTTCCCCAACTCCTCTCCAGCTCTTTGACCAGCTCGGCAAAGCGAACGAATTTCGAGCCTTCCAAACCCTGAGCACCTGGAGCGGAAGAACGAATCCTACTATAATCATGGCAGGGAGGACCGCCCGCGATGATGACAGTAGCCTTGCGTCCCGGGTCGATAGCGTCCAAGCGCTCAATCAGATCCGCAACACGCTCGTTGTCAACATCACCCCTGTGATCTGCCTTCGGAAAGTGCTCCTTTGTCAACGCTGCTAGGTCCTCGTCAGACTCCCACAATATCATGTGCCCCTTCCAGGATTTCTCCTCAAGGATCTGCTGGAAAACCAACGCAGCCGTGCCAATGCCATCGAAAAAGCTCAACAGTATTGCGTCGACGGACTCAGTCTCGCGTGGCATGCAACTGCGGAATTTTCGAGGGAGGGGTCCTCGCGGATCCTCCTGCTTCCGCTTTTGCCCATGCCCGGTCGGCTGCACATCGACAGCCGGAACTAATCTGACTGTTGATAAGCTGGCATCGGTGTCGGGTCCGTCCGATTCAACATCTTTGTCGAACGGCCCGCGCTGTCCCTACTCCCTTTGCGAGTTCTTGTCCTCCTGCCCGTACTGGTGGCTCTTCTGCTGCCAGGATGACCACGAGGAACCGTGCCACGAAGACCACGATGGGGTCTGGTAGTTGGAGGCGTAGGGGCCCGGCCGCCAGCTATCATTCCGTCGCTCCCATCGGCGATCGTCCCAATAACCCTTGCCACCGCGAGTCTTCGTCTTAGTCTTGCCTTTCCCTTTGCCGTTGCGGTCGACGTCCTGCTGGTCATAGCGGAATCGTTGACGCCCAGCACGGTCTAAGATCACGACGTCCCTGGAGACAGCGTCCTGGAGCGCTTGGTTGTCCAGGATGATCTCTTCCGTGATCGACTTGAAAGTTCTCTTGGACCTCAAAGCAAGAGCAATCCGCCACGCACATGCTTCCCAGTACAACCTCAACTGCTCCAGTTTGCTTGTCCTTGACCGCACTTGCTTCTCAAACCAATCAATGTACGTCTCTATGTTTTCTACTATATGCAAGAAAACCCACCCACCAGCCCTCACTGCCGTGACACCCACATGCAGACAACTCGCGCTCTGATCTTTTCTACCAGGGATGCGCAGTTGAAGGCTTGTGACATCCTCTCGTTTTGAGAGTCTAGCATGGAACCACAAATTTCCCGGAGGCGAATGGGGCGGCGGTGGGCAGCTAAAACGCGGCTAGAATCCCTTTCTGCCCGAGGCCTATCCACAAACTGTACCCGGCTCGAGCAGCTAGCCGCGCTCGGACTTACCATACAAGATCAAACCCACGAGACGACTCATGTGCTTTGCTTCGCTCCGCACAATTTAGCTTCGAGACAGCCGACTCGCTACCCATTTCAACAAAGATCATCAGGACACGAATGGAGTCCAAGCAGTCCACGAACGAGAGCACGCTTTTCGGGCGCCACGGGGCATCTGCTTCGGTCTCAATCTGATAGTCAGAGTTGAGGGTCAAAATCGCACCCTGGGCCTTCTGCTTCTTTTCTTCTTCGCAACGCATAGGGGGTTGGGGTTCCCGGACGATTCAAAGTAACGAGCCTGGACCACCTCGTGAAGCCCAATAGCTGTGTGACTCTCTGCGCGCATCTCGTGCACCACGCGAGCAACTACTGTCTCTGCACCGATCAGCTTCTCTTGCGGAAACTTTCGGGTCTCGTCTCCGATCTTGACAGCTTCAAACTTTGCGACTTGCTGCTGCCAGTAACCACTGGGAAGCTCTTTGGACGAAGACTTAGTCACCGAAGCCGCTGGTGTGGATGCCGGCAGTGTCGGCACCGTTGGTGCTTCGCCAAGGCTGCAATCCTTGAAGCATTTGCGCCACAAGTATCGAAGCTTGGCCTTCGCAATGGGGAACTCAAGCTTTGACAGCAGAATCTTTTCCCCACCTGGGAGCTCAAACTCCGACTCGAGCGGCTTTGCCAAAATTTCGTCCACCTCCTCCACCTTGAAGGCTATGGACGCCATCACCTCAACTGATGTAATGTCGCGGCTGACAATGTACTTCTGGATGTCACTAGGGATGCCCGCTTGCTCCATCGCTTGTTGGAAGGACGCATGCACGACCGCCATCGCCTGTGACTTTACACAAAATTCAGCGGAACGGAAACACTGCTGGGGCACAACGCTACAGAAACGGATCCTTCAAGCAAAGCGCTGGCAAAATGTAAAGCAAATCAAGGTATCCGGAGCTACAACAACCACTGGTTCCTGTCCACACCATGACCATGATCGTGCTCGGCTGGAAGCAGCATTTCACGACACCCTTTCTGCTGTCCCCAATCCGCACACTCGCTGCGCACGTGCGGCGCAATAAGATATGACGCACGAGCGGCGCAAATAAGTTCTCATTCCCCACAGCGCTCGCGCGGCGCTGGCGCACGTGCGGCGCAAGCGCGCGTGCGGCGCAATACATCTCAACACAATGTACAAGTTATTCGCACTATCTCAGTCTGTCTCTGAGTCTGACGAGCTCGAGTCTGACGAAGTGTTGGAGCCTGACTCTTCCCGGTTGCTGTCTATCTCACCATCCTCGGCACATTCTGGAAAGCAGCGGCGACAGCGTGTGGCCACAGGGGCTTCGCTCGCTCTCGTGAACGCAGCACAACCATACTGCCACAGGCCACACCTTGTCCTCCATGTGACTGGCAGCTTGTCGAGTTCATGAGGGTCTCGCGCATGGGCTTTCTTGCCCACCACGAGCGGTGGCCTCTCTTGCAATGCTTCCACGCGAGCTGCCAAGATTTCGAGCTTCTCAGTCAGAGCTGCCATAGAGTCTCCAACAGCCTCGCGGTTCAACTGATCCCGCTTCTTCGCTGGCTCGGCGACATGCACCGAGGGGTCAAAGATCTGATCCAAGGAGAATGTCTCCAGGGCTGCCTCCTGCACGTATCTCTCGACACTGCGGCTGCCCCACCGCCCCAACAACATGATGGTAGGCAGAGGCACGAGGCGTCTGGCCAAAAACTGTGCACCCGAAACTCGAAGGACGTGGCCATTGAAACGCTCAAGCATCGCCTGGCCCTGAGCACCTGCACGCTTCATAGCGAATGGCGACGCCGACAGTGTTCTGCGGATCAACTGGATGGTCTCATGTTTAGACAACTCATGACCGCGAGAGCTGAGAAAAAGCGGAGCTTCCAAATTCTTCGGGCGAATCTTCTCGAAAGCCACAGCATTATGGTACGGGCACATTCTTGCAGGAACGTGGTCGCAATAACATCCATGTTTTCGCAAAACAAGGTTGCCTTGCTGGTCACACTTACTTGCTGCTAGTGTGAGGGTCACCTCCATGCGCTCGCAATCAACAGTCAAGTGCTTGCTCTGCAACGCTGCGATCTCGATCTCTCTAAGCAGGAACCAGCATCCCAGCACTAACATGCACACGGCCTGTCGACGGGTACTCGGAATTTCCTCGAAGGGGCTGGGCAGCACCACCTCTTCAAAACGGAATGCGTCCTTAAGCGCAGGACCACCTATTCCACGCTCAAGGGAACGAAGAGCATCTCTCATGCACAGCAGCACATCTGGCGGCACTTCTGCTTTCATCTGAAGCACATGCTCTCTGCGAGCACTGGCAAAGTACTGGCGCGCTGATCTATACCCTCCTGCCTTGAAGGAGGCCGCCACCTTTTCGATTCCGTCCCGCGATAGCGGCAAAGCCGGAATTCCCCAGGCGTCACACACCTTTGACCAAGTCCGCCACCGAGAGGCCTGCGGTTTCTGGTTGCTGGGCGCCCACACATCACGCTGGAAGCTAGCGAGCGTAGCCTCTCGCGCTGAGGGCCTTGCCGACTCTAACGCCTTGGCCAAAGAGCCTGCTGCAGTTGGCTTGGCGACAGGAAGATCGGTTCTTCTCAACTTTGCGGGCGGCGCCTCGCCCATGCTCTTTTCACCACGCTTGACCACCTCGGGCCCCAAGGCAAATGTTAGCAACGCTTGCACTGAACCAGACAGCTCGGGCGGCAGTCGACCGGCTTCAAGTGCGCGTGCCGCTGCACTAATGTTGTCTACATCGAGGGACTCCAGCCACATCAGCATCTCGGGATCCACACCTGAATCAACAAGCGCTTCGGCAAGGCCCGCGAAGCTGTCTGGATATTCCATGGCTCTCTTTCAACACCGGCGACTCGACGACCTACTTCTGGACGGCTACCACGCGCCTCAGAGAAGTAACATGACCTGCAAGCATTGGGTCAAACAAGCATTTGCAAAGCGCATTGCTCACATCAGCAATCAACCCCAACAAGCAAGCCACGCCACTAAACAACAGAGAGGGGACAAAAAATCACACGCACGCAAACGAAATCACTTGTCACGCTTGCCAATCTTGCTTCCCCACATAACGTCCTCTTCATTGCGGGCTATCCTTCACTTCCGTTCAGCTCGTGCCCGTGAGCAAGCGCAGCAACGTGTCGGCTGGGACGTCGCCGCCCCAAGTGCAGCCAGGCGCCAGAGTGGAGTCGACAGCATCAGCCACCGAAGTGTTTCGCACCATGAGCGCGGGGGAAAGCTTTCCGACAAACTTGCAAAGAGTTTGCAGCTGCTACGAGCTCTCTACGACGAGCTTCGAACCAAACTCGCAAAGGTGCAAGCGCTCGTAACATGTCACTACGTGCACTGCGGCGGGCACTCCTGCACTGCGAGAAAAAGGGCGCACAGCAAACTTTTATTCCCCCTGGGCGTGGAGGGCGGGGCAAATCGACACAAAACTACACGTTCTGTCCAAGTGCTGCACTGCGCCACTTCGGACATCCGGCTTGAGCACACATACAGCTGCTAAAGTGTTGCAATTCACAACAACGCGTTGCGTGGTCGCAACACGCAGTCTCTCTATTGACAAAGCAACTCAAACTAACTAACAACAAACGTGCATTAGCACACGCACAAAGACGCCAGTCCTGCTGCCCGCAGGGACCTTTATTCTTACTCACGCACTCACCTGCACAATTAAGCTAATGACACCCGAAGCGCACTGCAAACCTTCGTTTTGCAACGGGGGAGCATCTCAGGTGATCCTTGCATTGTCAGGCCGCCCATATGAGCGACACAAGATCGCCAGTTGCGAACTGTGCGATGCTCAAGGCGGGACAAAAGTAGGGTGGGCAAGAACAATCGAAAGTGCAGCAAGCTGGCGACGCTTCAGTAGCCAAGCAAGCTTAGTCTATGGGGCGCCCACCCACCCGCTGCAAAGCATGACAGTGAAGAATACAATTACATGCGCAGACGCAGGCAAGCAGGACGGTTGCTTTCAACACCACGTCACAACGCGGCTACCTTGCGCCCTTGAGGAGCGGAGCTAGAATAAAGCGTTATCAACAAGTAGACTACAGCATCTCACCGTGCTAGATGATCCCACTTTGCTGCACGTGCGCGTGCACCCCGCGCGACACAAGATCGACAGTTGCGAACTGTGCGATGTTCAAGGCGGGACAAAAGTAGGGTGGGCAAGAACAATCGAAAGCGCAGCAAGCTGGCGACGCTTTAGTAGCCAAGCAAGCTAAGTCTATGGGGCGCCCACCCACCCGCCTCAGCCGACGCTGCAAAACACGACGGTGAAGAAAACAATTACATGGCGCAGACGCAGGACGGTTGCTCTCAACACCACGTCACAACGTGGCTACCTTGCGCCCTTGAGGAGCGGAGCTAGAATAAAGCGTTATCCTTCGTGCTCCCGCAGCCTAAAAAAAAAGACTCTGTTGGGGACCGCAATCCTACACGCACACAAGGAACTGACAGGACAGGCAAGACAAAGCAACGCTCAATCCTTCATTTTCTCGCATTTTCAATTTGGGGCTCACATCTCGCGCGGCGCACGCCAAGAGATTTGCCTCCGCGCTGCCCTTATCATTTTCTGGTGGGTCGGGCAGCGTCAAAAGTTTTCTCGCCGTGTTTTTCGCACTGCAACTGCAACAGAAGCAAGATGTTGAAGCGCACGCATTACGTCTCTTAGTTCAAGTCGCAAGACTCCCGCCCTACCACCCTTGCAGCCCACCGTGAAACAGCGCACACGCTCAAGCCTTCTTTGGTTCTGCGGGATGCGCAGGAAAACCGATCCACAGCTTGCCTTGTGCCAGCTGTGCTATGTCGACCGAAAACTTCCTTCCTGGAGGTGAGTGGGGCGGTGGCGGGAAGTCGAATGCGACCTAGCCTAGCACTCGAAATCTACCAGAAGCTGCTTGCACCTGCTTCGAGCAGTGCAACGGCTACGCGAGCCACAAGCTACAATCAACTACGCGAAAGAAGAACAACGAGACGCTTCATGTGCAAACCGCTACGCTGGCACAGTTATGCAAACAAGCTGCACACTACACAAGCCTGGCACATTTGAGAAGCAGGCATGCATTCTACTCGCGACGCCTGCTCACACATTATAAACGCAATTTGTTCCCGCGCTGCACAAACAGCGAGCTTCGCAAGAACACCACTCGTGCACCAGTTCCGAAACTGAGAACGACTTGGCTCAGGCCACAACAAACCCGCGCGAACTCACTCTACACCTGGACTGAAGCGACTAAAGGGTACGGCACCACAGCCCCAAGCCCAGAAGCCCTGGCGAGACACCGGCTGAATGACTCACCAACACAGCGCACGGGAGCGCGAATGAGAATAGCAGAACTTGCACAGCAGGCAGAAGAGGGCAGGGTAGAAGCATAAAGCCGAGACAAGAGCAATCAGTGCACATGTTCTTAGACACGCTGACTCACAAGAGCATCACGCCCACGTTCCTGGCAACCTAAGTTGTAAAAGGGGATTCTTACGCAAACCTCTACACCAAACCTACTCTCCAGAACCCCGTTATGCACAACTCAAGGGGGGGGGGGGGCCCGCCAACCTTTTGCAGGAAATGCCGGGCAACAGTGAGTAGGTGTGGAGAGAGGGCCGGTGTTCTGCCAAACGCAACCGAACGGGGAACACCAACACAAGAACCAAGCGGACGCCAAACGCAACCGCACCGGGAACACCAACACAAGAACCAAGCGGACTGCAACCTTCATTCTGCTCCAAAGCGCAATGAGGTTTGTCTCGCTGGTAGACCCAGGGCCTATAATCCACGGACAGCCCAGCCCGAGTGAGTCAATGCAAGGCAACAAACGGCCCTACATTGGCAGGCGAAAACCTCAACCGCCTTCTCACAGCCAAGATTTTCTGTGGGCGAGGGAGGGAAACAGAAAACTTGGAGCACAACTGATGCGAAACAGGATTTTTTCTGCTATCTTCTGCTCATGGCATTCGAGCAGCTGACTATGGCTGCACACGCAGAGAGAAAGTCCAATATGCAAATGTGATGAAAGCATTCGCACTGCCACAAGCAACACGCACACGCAAAGCAAGCTGCGACATTGCACACGTAAGGATGCGCGAAAACCCCGTATCCCGAAAGATATCCCTGAATTACTTATTTGTTCTTGTTTACGCTTATCGTTTTCTCGAGTTTTAGCATTATCCTGAACGTTATCGTTCTTTTTTACTCTTGTCGTTTTTCCAAGCAAAACGCACATCTGATCATTTCGGGGCGCTTCCCTGCCTTACTTTTCAATACCGGGGGTTTTTATCATCCCTCACGTCGCAACGTATTCAAGATCTGCTAGCAAATCCCACTTTGATGCACGCTGCGCGTGCACGCCGCTTCGGCGTTAGTCTGGGTAGCCTCATCCCTCACGTCACAACGTATTCAAGATCTGCTAGCAAATCCCACCTCTCACCCATCCGAACAAGCCAAGACTAAACACGCGCAGGCGCGCCGACATTGTTTTGCAAGATGCAGGGACAAGCCATCTAGCAGATCTCTGCCAACAGGCTACCCTTCTCCCATCTTCTCCCCCTCCCTCTTCCTAAGCTGCTCTGCAGCCCAGGGCGGGCGGGTGGGAAAGGCAGAAAACGAGACTGCATCTGCCAACAACCGTGGCGCAGCCGAACCTATGCACACCCCTTTGACACCCAGCTGCACCAACTCGCACACGGGCATGTTCGGACGGTGTTCCTGCCTACCCCAACCAACCGCGAACACCAGTACTTTGACGCACGCTACGCGTGCACGCCGCTTCGGCGTTACTCTGGGTAGCCTAGCACGTGACGTAAAGACTGTCCTTGGCCGCGTAGTCGTAATGTACGTTGACAACCTGTCAAAACATACGATGGTTGCACGAGCCGCCAGCCTCGGTGCTGCACAGCAAGTGAAGCGATACTGGCAACCGGCAAGGTCGCCACCCCATCTGCACCATCGCCAGCAGACGCAGAACGCAGCAAAGCAAGCAGCAAAAGCGCAAGACGCAAACATGCCATCCTTTGTTCAGCAAGATCACAAATGAGCAGCGTTGACAGCAACTGCCTGCGGCAGTAGATTGAAACCCACTGCTCGAAGTACGCTGAGCGTGCAGGGGCATTCCGTGTGGCAGAACGCCTGCAAGTAGATGCAATCCAAGCGCAGATCGCCACACACACACACAGACAGACAGACAGACAGACAGACAGACAGACACACACACACACAGAGACACACAGAGACAACACACAGAGACAACACACAGAGACACACAGAGACAACACACAGAGACACAACACAGAGACACAACACAGAGACACAACACAGAGACACAACACAGAGACACAACACAGAGACACAACACAGAGACACAACACAGAGACACAACACAGAGACACAACACAGAGACACAACACAGAGACACAACACAGAGACACAACACAAAGACACAACACAGAGACACAACACAGAGACACAACACAGAGACACAACACAGAGACACAACACAGAGACACAACACAGAGACACAACACAGAGACACAACACAGAGACACAACACAGAGACACAACACAGAGACACAACACAGAGACACAACACAGAGACACAACACAGAGACACAACACAGAGACACAACACAGAGACACAACACAGAGACACAGCACAGAGACACAGCACAGAGACACGCACAGAGACACGCACAGAGACACGCACAGAGACACGCACAGAGACACGCACACACACACACACACACACAGACTGCACGCCTCTTTTCAATGAGCTTGCACACAAGAAAGGGGCCGCAGCCCAATCGCTTCTCCCAATCACCGCTCCCTTACACGA